AAACATAAAACCATGTCTGCATTTGTGATCTGAGAAATGACAAACAACAAGCGCTACTCTACACTGCTCAAAACTCGCGTTTGAATCATCAGTGGCAAATCCTTAAAATGAAAACGTACTTACGGTCTGTGAGTCAGAACAGCCGGCATTGTAGTCTACTCTTCTAGGATCAGGAAACAGTCCTCCATAAAATGTGCTGCACACATCTGAATATTTGGGTTGAACTGTTCTGGAACAGTGTTGTAAATACAACTTAACCACTGATTTGTAGTCGTGTCCTCTTTTGGAAGGCCAAACAAAGTAGTTTCGCTTGAGTGAGCGGAGGCCGGCGGGCTTGCGGCAACCACATGTTACGATGTATTTCCTCAGCGACCAGCACGGATCAGCTCCAGGCATGACGAAGCGAATATCATCCTCTTTTGGAAGGCCAAACAAAGTAGTTTCGCTTTCACAACGAAACACACAGCGTCTTAACGACATGGCGGCAGCAGCAACAATACTACAGCGAGAATAAAAGTTACGCCTTCTTTCTTTGCGTGAACATTTGGGCGGCATTATGCAAATCTTCCCACATCGTGACGTAGACATGTGGGGGCGTGTTAGAACGAGTCGTTTTAGGTAGGCGTGGCTGACTCTTAACTTTTATAAAGAATATCTCTTTGGATTTGAGACTTTAGTCTTTGCAACTTTACAGATCTTCTTTATGCACCAAGAGCTTGTAACACTTCAAAGAGAAAGGAAAATTTGAAAATCGCATCATATGACCCCTTTAAATTGTGTTCCGAAGATGAACAAAGGTCTAACGGGTTTGGAACAACACGATGGTGAGTAATTAATGACAGAATTTTAATTTTTGGGTGAACTAACCCTATAATGTCTGTCACCTTTTTTATAAAAATGCTACAATCTCATAATTTAAGATGTAAATATGTAAATACTGTATGAATTTAATTTTATGCAAGGTTACATTTTGAATTAAATTTGCAGTTTGAAATTGACATTCAGACGATTGAGATTGGTAAAAAAAAATTATGTTTTTAAAAGATGTCTCATGCTCAACAAGGCTGCATTTATTTTAATAAAAATACAGTAAAAACAGTAATATTGTGAGTCTTCAGTGTCACATGATCCTTCAAAAATCATTCTAATATGCTGACTTCGTGCTCAAGAAATATTTCTTATCAATTTTAAAAATATTTTTGTGGAAACTGATACATTTTTGATGAATAGAAAGTTCAAAATAACAGCGTTTATTTGAAATAGACATATTTTGTAACATTATGAATGTCTTTACTGTCACGTTTGATCAATTTAATGCATCCCTGCTCAAAAGTCCCTTTCTTTCAAAAACAAAAAAAATTTACCGACCCCAAACTTTTGACCGGTAGTGTATCTTTTTGTTTTAGTACATTATACAATTTTTTAGCTTTCCACTATGCTGCTTTTTCAGTCTTTGCTATATTTATGTTTCATTGTCTGATGATAATAATGTTTTAACTCTTTGTCAGGTGTTAAAATTGGTCTCAGACTTGCGGGACCACCCAGTGGCAGTACTGATGGCTGAGGGTCATCCTGTAGTGATCAGCTCAGATGATCCAGCTCTGTTTGGGGCCACTGCCCTTTCACACGATTTCTACGAAGCCTTCATGGGTTTTGGAGGAATGAGCTTTAATTTAGGCACATTGAAAGAGCTGGTCATAAACTCCCTCAGGTAACATATAACTACAACTGTCATATTTTAGGATTAACACAGACATTACTTATACGCTTTTTGGTCATTAGTATAATCTACAACCAGGCTTTGCTGTTTATTTGTAACTTATTTGTCCTTTTGCTCTTCATTTCTAGGTACAGCTCATTGCCAAGTCAAACAAAAAAAAAGGCTATTGAGGTATTGCTGGTAAAATGGGACAAGTTTGTCTTGGAAAGTTTACTGTAGACGACTTTAACAGATAGTCTGTAAATCAGGACATTTTAAACATGCTCTAAGGGCATTTTTACAGGATGTTTTCCCCATTTGTTTATCATATTGGTGAACATACTGGGGTGTGAATACTGCAGTTTACACTGTTACTTGGTGTGAGGAAATGAATGTATTATCTTGAACTAGCCTGTGCTGCCAGCTGGTGCAGAATCTGTGTACTAATCATCTGTACTTTCATTGACTCTAGTGCTTGCACCTTCAGGCTGATGACAGCAATTTTGTAAATACTAATCAAGATTTTAGATTTTTAGACAGCAAAGTGACACAACATATAGGTGTTAACAGGGTAGACCACTTCAGGACACCTGTTAAACAACAAAAACTGTGATGTATGATGTCAATTAATTGTTTTATTTGAAAAAGTAGTAATTAAAGGAATAGTTTACCCCCCCCAACAAAAAATTCTGAAAATGTACTCGCCTTCAGGTCCATCCAAGATGTAGATGAGTTTGTTTCTTCATCTTGCTCACCAATAGATCCTCTGCAGTGAATGGGTGCCGTCAGAATGAGAGTCGAGGTAGATGATAAATACATCACAATAATCAACAAGTAATCCACACCACTCCAGTGAGGCAAAAAGTTGCATGTTTGTAATAAATCCATCAATACAATGTTTTTAACTGCAAAAACCTTCATCCATAATATTGCTTTCTCCAGTGAAAATGTCTGGACAGAATCAGGAGAGAAATACTGCTTTTACAAGCGAAAAAAAGTCCTAAACTGTTCTAAACAAATATGTCAGTGGATTTTGATGTAAGAGGACAAAAGGGGATAGACTTTTCACTGGAGAAAGCGTTATTATGGATTTTGGCCAGAAGCGAAGGTTTGAAGTTCAATTCCTTAATGATGGGTTTGTTTCTTACACAAACACAGCTTTTTGCTTCACAAGAAGTTAATTGATGGACTGGAGTCATGTGGATTATTGTGATGTTTTTATCAGCTGTTTGGACTCTCATTCTGATGGCACCCATTCACTGCAGAGGATCCATTGGTGAGGAGGTGATTTAATACTCAACCAAGCCTGTTCCAATGAAGAAACAAACTCATCCAAATTTTCAGCAAATTTTCATTTTTGGGTGACCTATTACTTGAGTTTTTAAAAGTAAATTTTTACTTTAACAACCTTGGCAGGCTGACTTTAGTTACCTGATTTCAGTTGTTTATGAATATGCAACTCATTTTGTTTACAACATGAATGTTTTTCATCTTTTTTTTAAATACAAGAATTGGGGAGAAAAGTTAATTGTAAAAAATGTTATTTATTAATGTAGTCATTGTATGAATAAATTACATTTTTTATATTTTTAATACCAGATCCAGACCACTTTAGTTACCTGATTTCAGTTGTTTATGAATATGCAACTCATTTTGTTTACAACATGAATGTTTTTCATCTTTTTTTTAAATACAAGAATTGGGGAGAAAAGTTAATTGTAAAAAATTTTATTTATTAATGTAGTCATTGTATGAATAAATTACATTTTTTATATTTTTAATACCAGATCCAGACCAAAAAAAAAAAAGAATGTTCCTCACAGAACTCACCATAGACTTTCAGTTCATTTGCTTGGCGTTGGTCTTTCTCTCTTCGTTCTTTAAAGGGGTCATATGATGCGATTTCAATTTTTCCTTTCTCTTTGGAGTGTTACAAGCTCTTGGTGCATAAAGAAGATCTGTAAAGTTGCAACGGCTAAAGTCTCAAATCCAAAGAGATATTCTTTATAAAAGTTAAGAGTCAGCCACGCCTACCTAAAACGGCTCGTTCTAACACGCCACCACATGTCTACATCACTATGTGGAAAGATTTGCATAACACCGCCCAAATGTTCATGCAAAGAAAGAAGGCGTAACTTTGATTCTCGCTGTAGTATTGTTGCTGCCGCCGCTGCCATGTCGTGAAGACGCTGTGTGCTTCATTGTGAAAGCAAACTACTTTGTTTGGTCTTCCAAAAGAGGACAC